TGCTCGCCGTGCGATGATACTTGGCTTTGCCGTGCGATTGATGGAGAATTATGGAACTTTGGTTTGCTGAATATAAGCTGCTGAAAAAGGACCAGTGTATATGCTGAAAGGGTGCTCGTCTAAAGGGGAAAAAGTGAGGGAAAATTTGTCTAAGTCATGCCTTATATACTTGGCCGTATGGTGGGAGAGATGATGGTGTGATGGCGTGGTCACCCTCTTCTTCTCACACTTGTTTGCATTTCATGAAATGTTTGATGACTAAGCCTCTCCTATAATTGACAATTGCTTAGTTTTGATTGGTGGAAAAATCTTTTCCTTAAGCATAAGGAAAACTCACGGCTATAGTTAAATGTTTGGAAGAATTTTCATTATCCTCACGGCAATTAGGGCTTGCAACAACTAATTGTGATTAATTAACATTAATCACTCTTATTTTATGTTTAATTATTTAATTAAACACAATACCTAATTACCAAAATTATTTCGAACGTAAACGATACGCCGAAAATAAATTTCGGTCATCCGACTAAAAGGAACTAATTCCGAAAATAATAAACAATAACATTATTATATCGGAACTGAAACGTAATTTATACCGATAAAATATCGGGATATTACATTTAGGTTTGTTAAAAAATACATAAAATTAAGTATAGCACTATTTGGGTCATATGTCTTATTTATATAAATTAATTTATATATTTTTATTATATCATATATAATTATAATCTTCTCATTTATACTCAAATATATAAATGTTTTATTCCGTACATTTTTTTAAAACCATTTTATTATAATAACACATATTAATAGATAGATGAGTAATGATAATATACGAATATAATTATTTTGGTAAAAATATTAATTTTGAACATGTAGGAATATCATGATTCTCGAGATATTTTTAATTAATCTGTAGATAATTATATGGTCAAAATTACATGTTGCTAAAGTGGTATTTCATTAGACGTGAAAAAAATAGATTAAGTTTTAGTATTCTACAATTTCATAAACCTTATGTAGCAAAGAAGTTGAATAGATTAGAAGTTTAGGTTGCAAAACAATCATTCAACAATTAATCTCACATACTATCACAAATTTTTTAAAGGTTATTTTGAAAATAATGATTCTATACTTTGTGTTCGTTATGAGAAAAAACAATATCGATTTCTTTAAAGAACTTTCATATATTAGAATTATGAAATGTGATTACAATTTTGCCATTAAAATTATATTAAAATAATGGCTTTGTCAAAACAAAAAGTTCATATCCTATCAAACAGTATATGTGGAAGAAAACAAATTTATTTTAAGAGTGTGGAATGATTTGTTCATGTATTTGCATTTAATTAATTAATTAGTTATTAATCAATAATATAAGATATGATGGACATTATTATATTACTAATTTGTCATTAAAAATATAAAGTAAGAGTTTTTTGGGTAGTTTATTTTTTAATTAAAATATGACAGAGAAAAATTGAGAGATCGTGAATTCCGATGTATTTATTTAATAATAATTATGTTTGTTAGAAAAGTTATATTACAAATTTATCATTAAAATATGACAGAGTAAGGGTCTTTTTGGTATTAAATATTTTTACAAAAATACTCATCCTTTAGAGTAGAATAGTAGTATAGATATAGATATAGATATAGATTGTTACACGACTAATTTTTTCCTCCTTTCGTCAAGTTATACGACTAAGTTTCAAATTCACCAGGTTATGAATGAGATAAATCCTACATTTAATGAAAACCTTTGTGAAACATGAAAACAGGTCTGCCTGTAACAATCAGACTTTTGGACCCTCCACTTCACGAATTCCTTCCGGAAGGTGACATAGAGCAGATTGTTGGGGAACTAACAGTCGATACTGGCATGAGTCAAGATGAAATTTACTCCCGGGTTGAAAAATTGTCTGAGGTGAACCCCATGCTCGGTTTTCGGGGATGCAGGTGTAATTCTCATTTGATCTTCATGTGTATATGACTTGCAAAAATATACGTCAAAAAAAAAGAAAATAAAAGAAAAGAAAAAAAGAAAACGGAATTAACTATTATGTCAAATTTGGCAGGCTCGGGATATCGTACCCCGAGCTTTCGGAAATGCAGGTTCGTGCAATATTTCAGGCGGCCATCTCTTTGAGCAGCCAGGGTGTCAAAGTCCACCCGGAGATCATGGTTCCTCTTATCGGAACACCTCAGGCATGTTTAGAATCATATCGTTTGGGTTTCGTATATCCCGGTTTGTGCTTAAGATGTACGTATGGCCACTAATACTTTTATTGCAGGAATTGAGTCATCAGGTGAGTTTGATCCGTGGGGTCGCAGAAAAAGTGTTCTCCGAGATGGGCTCCTCTGTGAGCTACAAAGTGGGCACAATGATCGAGATCCCTAGAGCCGCTCTTGTGGCAGACGAGGTCCGTGAATTTCATTATTCTCGGCTAAAACCACATTATGTTTTCTGAATTTGAGTATTAATAGTATTTACATTAAATTCTAGCCGACCAGAGTTACTAAGTGAAAAGTTGCATAATTACTACTAGAGTTTAGCAATTTTTATCGTCTAAAAGTGCAATGTGGCTACAGTTTTGCCAAATTCTTTGCAATGTTCGTTCTATAAGTTCCAATTCTGTAATTTTGGTTTCGATATTTCCTCAATTACGGTGTATCAAACCAAAAGTAATGTAGGCTGCATTTTTTTTCATTCTTTTTTTGGCGCATTTGACACATTTCAAACGGGTTTTGTTCGAAAGATTGCCAAGGAAGCAGAATTCTTCTCGTTTGGGACAAACGACCTCACGCAAATGACATTTGGATACAGCAGAGACGACGTGGGCAAATTTCTGCCGATTTACTTATCTAAGGGCATTCTCCAGCATGATCCATTTGAGGTAATCTTGGTCATCAATTGTTTTGGAAATCATCATATATCCTAAAAGCATTACTCTAATGATCCTTCTTTTTTTTTTTCTTTTTTTTCAAATATAGGTTCTTGACCAGAAAGGTGTGGGTCAGCTGATTAAGATGGCAACCGAAAGAGGCCGTGCAGCTCGACCGAGCCTAAAGGTCAGGCTTTTATTTCGAAAGTTTTGATAATAAATAATAAACGACTTTGTTAAAATAATGAACCGAGATGCAACAGGTTGGAATATGTGGGGAGCACGGTGGGGAGCCTTCTTCCGTTGCCTTCTTCGCTGAAGCCGGACTCGACTATGTCTCGTGCTCTCCATTCAGGTGCCCCTCAGTTCTTATTATTACCATCAAAATCACATGCTGATTCCATGATTTTTTTTTTTTTTTCTTAATTTACTTTGTGCTCACTATATATACTCAGGGTGCCAATTGCAAGGCTAGCTGCAGCTCAAGTTGCAGCATGAGGACCAAAAAGTAATTTAAAAAAAGGAGAAGAATAATAAGGAGGCCTTGTCTATGTTTCTTTCTAAATGAGCAGTTTGTATATATAATGTATTGATCAACTTGTCCTCCATATTTGATGTGTCAAAGAGGCATGCATGTAAATTTGTTCAGACAAATATCAGAATTATTTTGCTGCTGAGTGGGCATTTTCAAGCGACTGTGTGAAATTAAAGGGATGACAGCAGAATATGTTGTGGATTTAGCTCTTAATATGATACAGAATTTGATTCATGGATATTGAAAAAATCTAACATCAAATATCAAATAAAGTATCTGTTGTTATGAAAATGTGAATGACCATTTTGCTCCGAATGTAATTTTATTATTACGATGTGCCACCAGAAGTTTTCCTATAAAATAGGAGATTCAGTTATAATGAAAAGTGTATATAAGAGAATACATTCTCTCTATTCTTCTTTTTTTTCTTTCTAGTTTTATAACACGATATCAGCACGAGTCTCTACACTCTAGAGTTCGATTTGTAATATGACGAAAGTATGTTCTACATTTGCGTTTTATAAACGATCTTCTGCATCATAAATTAGATTATTACGAATTATTGTTTCTTGACTTCGTGTCAAAACTTCTTTAAGCAATTCAAATGACTTGTTCCAAAAACAAAGTTAAGGTAGTGACTTACAAACTATTCATTCAAAAGGCCTTGCCCCTGTGGAGTTACATAAATAGTAGAGTCGAGGAGTGGTAAATAAAAGAAGAAGATCTGCTCAATATCAAATTCGTGGCCGACTTGTGGTAACCAGCGTGACCTTCTCTCCCTTTCACTAATAGAGGATAGTCCTCACATTCCAAGATTTATCTTCATTACCCGATTGAGTGTGGTTTGCTACAAATTCATGAGGAACTAGCGTTATCGATAAAAGATCCTGTGAAACACCCAAGAAAAGAAGAGATTTCGTCAAGCATGACATGGTGAGATTTGTGCCTCCCTTGAGGCTACCTCGGAAGCCGCCATGGATCCTTTGATGAAATACAAAATGATTAAATGATATCTTGGTAGAGTAGTACTAGAAGCTAGCACGTTATGATTAAAAAAAATAATGAAGTGGTACAAGAAGTTACCATCTATATATATATAAAAAGAATTATTATTTTTTTAAAATAGTAGGTCAAATTCTGGTCAAATCTCTATTAGCATTAATTGCATTCCATACTTAGTAACTTTTTTTTTTTCAAAAAATCAGCATTAAATGCTACCCTAAAATTATGGTATTTGTTACTTTTCTTTCAAAAAATCGTGTGATAAAGCGGATACATATTGGAGGATAAGTCCACTAAGACATCTAAGCCCAACTTGGGCCCAAAAGGTACACTCCTCCTATAAAAAGGGGCCAAGGTACCTCACTCTCTTATTCTCTCCTCATTTATTTACTACACACTATCTCTCTCT